TTTTTTTTTTTTTTTTTTTTTTTTTTTTGGTATTTTAGGGAAGGGTCTACAGGGTGTTCCGGGTCTCACTACTAGATCGGACTCGTAGTGATCCATCCTATTACAACCTCCCAAGAGCTAAGATTACAGGCCCACACCACCAAGCTCAGTCTCAATTTCTGTCTCAGTGTGCCCCAGGGGTGGGGCCAGTATGGCAGGCCTGGGAATCAAACTCCCGGCCCCTGCTCAGCTGTGCTTTAATCCTCTGAGCTATTTGGCCTTTGGCCGGCCCTTATCTTATCCTTTTTTGCTAATCTCCAAAGGAGAAGAGACACTGTCAGAAACAAGTTTAAGTAAAGGAGAAATAAACCTCAACTTTCCTCTCCCCTTTCAATTTCCTCCAAGCAAATCCTTTCACAATATTAAGCCAAGAATTACAGTAGTGAAGAGTGAGCCTAAGAAGAGATGGAGGGGAAAAAAAAAAAAAGTTAGGGGCCTGCCCCTTAGCTCAGTTCTTTAAGTGGCTGCTTCAACAAAGCAGTCAGGCTCAGGTTGCTGTGGTTCGATCCCCACAACTCAAGCCAGCCAAACCTGCCCTGAAGGCATTTGGAGAAAAAAAAAAAAAAAGAAGGGATGGAGGGGCTGCAGCCTGAGCAGCTTCCTTTGTGCCTTGCGTGAAGGCAGCCTTAGCAGGCTCAGTCGGCTGCAGAGAACATTTTTGTGGGTTCAGACTCCCAGCACACTTAGGATGTTGGAGAATTCCATTTGGACAAAACTGGGGAGTAAATTATACATCTGATGTAACCAACCGTGACCTAGAAAAGATAGCAAGTAGGATATTTCAGTGGAAATTCACAGAAAGAGAAATACAACCAGGAGAACCTGGGCCAAGTGGGGCAACGTGAGTATGAGATTAAGCGGTGGCATGTTAGAAATTCCCAGTCTCCGGTTAATAAAACTGGGGTCATGAGAATTCTCCAACTTCACCATCTACATTTACCAATTCATGCAGAAGCTCCCAGCCCTAGAAAAACACTGATTGAGGGAGGAAAAATAATTCTTTGGAAAGAAAACTTGTGGCATTCACCTCAAATTAGATTTTATTTCAAATGCAGGGAACTTCAACTATAATTTATTCTAGGATATTTTTAAGTCACATCATTTTGGTCAAACAGTATGGCCCCAATACGATTTCATCTCCATGTTTATGTGCATGCTTTATATAGATGCAGGATGTTTTCTTCTACTCAGATAACGATGGTGTTAAATAATAAATAAAATATTAATTTTTAAGTATGCATGTGGTTTTATAAGTATTTTCCTTTGTCTCTCCTCTTCCTTTCTGTCTAGCTTTGAAAGCCTCACCTTCTAAGAAATGGTGCAACTCCATTGCTGCCTTAAAGGCAACCTCGCAGGAGATTGTGTCCTCAGTTAGCCAGGAGTGGAAGGCTGAGAAGCATGATTTGCTGACAGAAGGACAAAGTTTTAGCAGCCTCGATGAAGAAGGTAAAGATAAGAAGCTTCAGGAAGAAAGAAAAACCCATGCTTTATGGATACAACTAATGTAAATTCACAGTAGAATAGTTAGAGACAGGATTCTATTAAGTTTTTAAAAGCTACATAGAGTATGGAGTTAGTATAAATTTTAAATATCACATAAACAATTCAGTTTATGATTGATGATAAAAATTACATCGTACTAAAGTATTCCCCAAAAATGTCTAATTCTACTACCTGATAATAGTAAATGCTAACATCTTAGCTCCTAAGCTTGTTCTGCACACGTATGTACACATAGACATCACAACTTGCTTCTTCAACTATTTAGATCTTCTTGAATGAATTTCAAGTTTCACAATATCCTTCTTACTTCACTTGAATACTGGACATCACTTTGATTTTTTAAAAGTAATATCTTTTTTTAAGAACTACATGGCCTGATTGTTCGCTGGTGCTACATAGGCCGCACACTCCATTTTATTCATGCTTTTTTGGGGGATTGGGGCACTGACTAGGACTTCTGATGAACAGAAGTGTTGACTGTGGACAGTCTTGCCTTGTCCTGATTTTTTTTTTTTTTTAGGGAAGTGTTACAGGGTGTTTAGGATCTCACTACTAGATTGGACTCACAGTGATCCGCCTGTTTACAGCCTCCCAAGAGCTGGGATTACAGGCGCATGCTACCATGCCCAGTCTCAATTGCCGTCTCTGTATACCCTGGGGGTGGGACTGACACAGCAGGCCTGGGGAACAAGCCCCTGGCACCTGCACCTGCCTGCAGGCACTATAATCCACTGAGCTATTTGGCCGGCTCATGTTGTCCTGATTTTAAAGAGAATGCTTCTAATGATTCACATTGAGAAAGAAGGTTGCTGTAGTTAGTGCAACCCATAATAATCAGGTCCAGGAAGCACCTTTTTTATGGCTAGTTTACATTAAGAATGAGTACCGAACCCTTTAAATGCTTTTCTCTAACTACTCTAATTACTGAGTTGATCATTCAGTTTTTCTCTTCCAGTCCAACTAAGGAGAAGTGTCACTTTAGATTTTTCTATCAGTATATTCCCTGGAGAATCCCAACATTTCCTAGAAAATGTCTCCCACTTCCTATAGAAGGAAAGATTTCTTGTAGGGGTTTCCTTTTTCTTCTGAGACCTTAGAATAGGTCTAGGTTATTCCCATCCACCTCCGTAGCATTTATCTACCAGTACTATGGTGGGTTTCTTTCTTTCACCTGCCCAAAAATCAACTTGGGTAGAGAGTTAACAATTTCCATGGAAGTGTTAATGAACTTGGTCCTCTCAGCACGTAGCCTGGCTCCTGAGAGATATTTACTGCCGTCCCCTAAGCTATGCTGCCTTGGTGTTTTCCCTGTCATACTCACCTGGTTTTCTGAGCATACCCATAAAATTATTAGAAACTTAAAAAAAAAAAAATTACACTCTAGAAAGTAGGACAAACTTGGGGGTTTTTTAATATAAAAAATTTATCATCTGGCAAACAATACCCATTATCAAACACTTGCCATCTTTAGTTTCCCACTTTTAGGGTTTGTTTTTTTTTAGTTTGTTTTGTTTTTATGTATATTATGCAGGGTCTTACTACGCAGCTCAGACTTGTAGTGATCCTCCTGTTTTCAGTCTCCCCGGCGCTGGGATTATAGGTGTGCTCCACCATGTCAGGTCGCGATGGCTGGCTCAGTGTGCCTGGAGGCTGGACCAGCACAGCATGTGATGCTGGGGATCGAACCCTGATCCCTGCACTTGCCTAAGCAGGCGATCAGTGTGCTGAGCTCTCTTGCTGGCCCCTAGCTTCCCATTTATAGTCTCTTACAGGTCCTTTGCTTTTCCTGTCCACTTTTTGTCTTTCTGGAGCCACTGAACTTCCTGAGGGTAAGCTGCTGAGGTCATCCGTAGCCTGAACATCTGCGCAGTGTCCATTGTTGGCGGTGGCTCCATGCGTAGACCCAGGGCTGGCTGGGTAACCGGATGCTTCCGTCTGGCTCTCTGTCCCACCTTCTAGAGAGGCGCAGTTTCTTCTGCAAGTTCATTCCACACCCCCACGCTCTGTAACTGCTGCCATGGTCTAGCCTACCTCTTCCCTGTCCAGGGGTGGGCAGAGGGGTGGCCCAGCAGTGAGGACAGAGAGAACTTTCGAGTCCGGGGATGAGCTTACTTCCAAACTACATTAATGAAGCTTTCAAATAGTGTGCTCACCATGGCCTCTAAAGTTCAAGCAGTGGAGCCCTTGTTAATCTACAAAAGGAAGTAGAAATACATTATATGCCTAGAAAAGTGAAGCTACTCATTTTATATTCTATTTTCGTGCTTTGTTGGGCCTATTGCTTCAAGTTGTAAGTCATTGTACTTGCAAAGGCCTCAGAAGGTTGAAGACCATATTCTTTGGGACTGTGACATCCTGTTATCAAATGAGTTTCTCTGCACAGTCTTTCATGTACAGGGTTTGGCCTTTTTCTCATGCCCTATGCTTGGGAACTTCCTCTTTCAGAGTATATTAAGTTAGGAGCAATTTTCCCTCTAGCGTTTACCCATTTGTTTTTCTGGCATCCTTACAGTGTCTGGATTGTGTTCCTTCTCTACTCTCTTGTAACAAATGATCTCACAGTTAGCGTTTTTAAAGCAATACCCACTTATTATCTGGTAGCTCTGTGAGTCGGAAGATTGGCCACGTGCCACTTGGATTGTCTACTCAAGGTCTCAAAAGCAGCAATCAAGATCCAGCTGAGCAGAGTTCTTTTCTGGAAGTGCTAGAGAAGAATCCATGTTCGGAGTCATTTGTTTTGTTGGCAGAATTCGCTCCTTGCCCTTGTTAGGCGGGGGCCCCTTTTCTTGGCTCTGGGACAACTGAGAGCCCTGACCAGCCACTAGGGATCACCTACACTCCTTGCCGTGCTACCTCCACCATCTGCAAACAAAGAATTCCTTGCACACCAGTCCCCTCAGCATGTACACTCTCAGACTGCCTATCTGTCCTCTAGACGCAGATTTAAGGCACCCATGTGATTATCTCTCCTTTGACTGCTAGGCCAGAGTTCAAAGTAGCCTGGGTTATATCTGCAGGATCCGTTTTCCAGGTCACGCAGAATTGTCACAATAGTGATAGGTCATTGTGTCTGTTGGAATCACCTGCACTCAAAGATATGACAACTGTGAAGTGCTAGAAGTTATCATAGAATTCTGCCTACCACATTGATTAAAAAAAAAAATAGGTTGATAGAGAAACAGTTCAGTGCCTCAAGGAGCCATGCCTCAAGGGTAGAGGGCTCAGCTACTTTGGGACAATATCCAACCTGGGACACAGCCCCAATGCCATATAACCAAAATATGTTAGTGTTTTTCCACATTGGTCACTCCTCATGTCTGAGTTCTGAAGTAAAGCCTGGCATGTTCAAGACCTTCCGTGTTGGTTTTTCTGAAGTCCAGCTCCAGCTGCCTTCTAATTATGGCAATTCAGGTTATTTTTCAGACCCAGATTTCAATATTGTTGAGGCATTTATATTTGTCTTTGTATTTAAGGAGACATCAGGTTATTTTTATTCAAGCTTGCTGGGCAGATGTCACATTAGGTTGAAGCCTCTCTCCTGTTGGAATGTTGACCTTTGTGGTCATTTGTGGTTTTATATGATCATTATCTAGTATTCACTAGGACTCTTCATTTTTTTTTATCTTTTTTTTTTTATGTATTTGGTACAGGGTCTCATTACACAACCCAGCCTCATAGTGATCCTCCTGTTTTCAGCCTCCCCAGTGCTGGGGTTACAGGCATGCACCACCACACCCAGTCTGGATGGCCGGCTCTGGATGGCCAGGGCCAGCGCCACATGCAGTGCTGGAGATTGAACCCCAGTCCCTGCGCTTTCTTCTTTATTTTCACCTAATTGGAGGTGCAACTCCACCAGCCCGTAACGTGTAACGCTTTGCCGTCTGGCCCAATGAAGTCCAGTGCTTCCTGTTCTTCCTCCGCTTTTCCTCCAGGCCTCTCCCTCCCCAATTGGAAAAGCCTTCATACCCACAATCCTGGAGCAGGGCTGCAGCTCATTGTGAGAGTCCCTGCCTCGCATGCAGAGGCTGCAGGTTCAATTCCCAACACCTTAAAAAAGAAAACCCAAAACCTCACACTCCATGACAGTGCATATTGGTCTAGTTTCCATTTCCACACTAAAAATACATAATTTTGGATATGCTGTGCCGATCAGGAATGTCGGAAACCCTGTAAGTTTACATTGTATTTATTATTACCTGTTTTGGTTCAGTTTGAGGAAAAGGTGAAAAAGAATCCACATAGACTCCATCAAAATGGGTATGGACTATGTGAGTCTAGAACTTTCTTTTTTCCTAAAAAGAGAGTTTCATAGGCTTCTAGGTTTTTAAAAAGAAATAGGATTTTTCCCACTTTTAGCCAAGGAGATGGCTCAGTGGAATAAGCATTTTCCTGGCAAGCGCAAGGGCCTGAGTTCAATCCCTGGTTCTGCAAAAAAAAAAAAAAAAAAAAATCCCACTTTTAATAATGTGAGCTAAGGGCTGGCCATATAGCTCAGTGGATTAAAGTGCCTGCTTAGGCAGATGCAGGGGCCAGGAGTTGGATCCCCGACCTGCCATGCTGGTGCTGCCCCCGGGGCGCACTGAGACAGTGACTGAGACTGGGCATGGAGGCGCGCACCTGTAATCCCAGCACTTGGGAAGCTGAACACAGGCGGATCATTATGAGTCCGATCTACACAGTGAGAACCCTGTACATCCTCTACACCCTGTCCTAAATACAAACAAACAAACAAACAAACAAACAAAAAAGTGCACTGATTGTTAAGGTACCAGGTCAGGAGCCAGATCACGTTCCAAGGCATGTGTGGACTCAGTCACGGACTCTCGGGCTGTTGAAGTGTTCCGCAGCCCAGGAGGAGTCCTTTGAGATCTAAACTGAGAAGCACAGGCGTGTGGGTTTCATAGGGTGAGCAAGGCAGGTTTGCTCTGTTTACCCATCTGCCAGTCATCCTTTTAATCTCAGTCAAATTATCTCCTTAAATCCCCTAGGACTTTTTAATACCATCTTTTGGAAATAGCAAATCACTTTATTAGATTTATAAAAGAACATTCCTAATGTCATTTCCATAAGCCATTTTGCAAATTAATTTAATTTCCTTTCTGCTTAACCTGTTTGCAAGCAGCTCTTTTACATCTCTGCTTCAGTTCAGAAGAGCACAGTTAATTCATAATCTCATCTGCAGCTCGATGTGCAAAATGAATACTTTTGACTCATTGAAATTACTGTGGCTACTGATGCAGGGTGTGATCCTGAGACTCATGAGTTGTGTGTTGCTTTCATTCCCCAGCTCTGGGATCCCGACACAGGCCAGACCTGGTCCCTAGCACTCCATCACTGTTTGAAGCCGCTTCCTTGGCAACCACTATTTCATCTTCTTCCTTGTATGTCAGTGAACATTGCCCACAAGACAGGACTACGCTTTATTCAAACAGGTAACACTTAGCAATCACAAGCAGTTTACCAGGCACGCTGTTACCACGTCGTCAGCAGCAGGCCTGTGGCAGTGTCTCCGGCTCTGGCAATGAGGAAGTGCCCAATCCCTGCCTCATAAGTAAGAAAGACAGCACAGGCTGATTTCTGCTAGGGTGAAGTATGTTTGAGGGAAAGCTCTTCTTTATAGTTAGTCAGTTTGTGGTGCAGAAATTATACATTTGGATCTATGAAAGAAGACAAATCTTGTGCCATAGGGCTGGGGAGATAGCTCAGTGGCATAAGCCCCTGCCTGGCAAGCGAAAGGTCCTGAGTTTGATCTCTGACACCAAAAAATAAAAAATCTTGTGCTGTTTTCACCTTAGTAATTTATTGATGAATTTTTTAAGCAAGCTGTCTTGATAAATATTACACAGATAGTTGTAAAGATGTTTACATTTTCTTAATCTCCTAAAATTCTGTTTCGAAGCCTATTGTTTTGTATGTGTGATCTTAGAGATTACACTAGACAGAATAATAGCTCCCAAGGTTGTCCACATCCTAATTCCTGAAACCTGTGAATATATTATCATATATGGCTAAAGAAACTGCAGATATGATTAAGATCCACTGTTTATTTTCTGTTTTTACATGTATGGTTTTATAACTAACTTCAATTCTAGAAAAGAGAGCAATAGATATAGTTATAATTATTATTTGTTGAATGTTAAATGAATTTTTGTTGAAATCTAGCCCTCAAACATCAAGGTAAAGCTGAGTGTAGGGGCTCAGACCTATAAGACCAGAACTCTGAGAGGTACAAGCCAGAGGGTCACAAATTAGAGTCCATCCTGGACAATTTATCAAGATCCTGTCTCAAAAATAACAAAAACAAGGGGCCAAGGAGATGGCTCAGTAGAATAGGCGCTTGTCTGGCAAGCACAAGGGCCTGAGTTCAATCCCCGGTTCTTTAAAAAAAAAAAAAAAAACACAGAGAAGAGCACTGGGGATGTAGTTCAGTACAGAAGCACTGGGTTCAACTGCCAGGACTGAAAAAGATCAAGATCAGATTTACGGGCTGGGGCTGTAGCTCAGTTGTAGGAGTATTTTCCTAGCATGTATGGGTTTGATCTCCAGCACGGCCCCGCCCCCAAAAAAGTATCCAGAGAAAGTACCTCTTATACTATAAGTGATTCTCCACCTCTAAGCTTGTGGCTTAGTTCAGTTTCACAAAAGAAATCAAAATGCTAAGTCATTTTTAACACCTGCATATCTATAGAATCTACTTTTATTTTTTGCGAGTTAGACATTGGTAGTTTAACTTCTGTATTAATTGTTTCTTGTTGCTGTTCTCCTCTCTTGATCAGATACAAGAGCAGCTAGATAGCAAGTTAGGCAGTTACTATACGTCCTGATACTTGGAACAAATGTCCAGATGAGCCGCAAATTTTAGCCATGTCTGAGTTTAGACTGTTCTGTTTATAGGGCCAACAAATAAGGCTTTTTATAAATTATTTAGCTCATCTGAACTACCTAAAAGTTATCTGATTTGGTTAGTTCCCTTGGATTGAAGGCATTTAAAGTGAATTACATTCACACGCAGTACCTTGAGTACTTATATTTGGTATGTAGGTTAATCCCATCTATAAGGCATATGGCTGAACCGTGAGGCTACAGAAAGGTCTTCTGCTCCCAAGTATAAATGGAACCTCAGAAGATAGCTGGGAAGTTCCAGAAATTGTCATCAAGGTCAATGATAATTTTCATAGGATGCCACAGTGATTTCTTGTTGTTTGCTACTACAGTAATTAACAGGGACATATAATTAGACATGTTGGGCCTGGGGAGATGGCTCAGTAGTATAAGCGCTTCCCTGGCAAGTGCAAGGGCCTGAGTTCAATACCTGGTTCCACAAAACAATAATTAGACGTGTTCTTAAATCATTACTGAAATTCTCAGGACAAAAATAAGAGTATTTTTGCTTGGCTTTTGGTGGCACTAGTGGTTGTTATTGTTAAGTTTCCAACCAGTTGGCCAGAGGGATTAAAGTCCCAAGTATTCAAAAGCTGTCCTGGGCAGGTAGCCTTCCCTCCACCCCAGTGCTTCCTGCCCAGCCTAGAGGCTACCTTGCATACAGGTCTCTGCACATTCTCAGGGCTATGCTAGAATTCCTGGTACTTTTCTTTATTCTGATAAAGCATACAGGTTTATATGGGGGAAATTTTAAAAAAATTTTCTACCCCATCCTTCCTTTTCTTTTTTAAAGTGAGTTGTTTCAAATAAATCCCTTTTTGATGCTGTATCTCCGAATCACAAGTTGATTATATTTAGCCATCTTCAGGGTTCAATTTTCAACAAGAAACCACTCTACCAAAGCAGAAGGGAAGCAAGGTCCAAGTGCACAGACTGGCGAGCCGAAGGCTGCACCCGGCCTCGGAAGTCCCCCCGGACACTCTCCCAGGCTGGCCTTCAAACAGTGGTCCAGCCTGGGCCGTCGTTAAGTGGTGCCTCCCATGGAATGCAACCGAGAAAGGTGTTTCCATGAGCCCAGAATGTTCTTAAAATGAGGCAACGCTGTTTTAAAAAGTGGCTTTACTTAAATGCTCATATTTATTTGAAAGATGCCTTTGGTGCCACTTGGCATGTATCGTCAGGACAGGAGAAGCAGGGACCATCCAGCTCACCTTCCTCTGCTTCGCTCTTCTGCCCTGTCCCTGGCCTGCACCATCGTTGTTTCTCCTTTTAGCCTTGGGATACAAGAAGCTGAAAGGCACATGGCAGACCTTAAGGGCTGCCTTGGGGGATGGTAAGGAAGAGGCTCCAAGGGGCCAAAGAACTAAAGAAAAATAATGTGCAAAAGTTCCTAGCAATCCCTGTCTTCCTGACCCAGTGGGGCCCATCCTCCTTATTCAACAGGAAAACTCAGCAGCAAACCAGAAAGAAATGGTCCTATTTTGTTTCCATTTGTTTTTTCCTTAGGTGTCCCACATGTTGTTTTTCTGAAACAATCATGAGCCCCTATTCCAAGTCTCATCTGGCCTGCTGAGTTTTATTTTTTATTAGCGCACGTTTGCAGTACATACATTCACACTCATGTGGAGTTGGTGCCACACATCTTAATTCCTCTTCACCCCTTTTTCCTTCTTCCTTCCTCTTTCGCCTTCCCATTTGAAAAGGCTCTGTCCCCACCTTTATATTTTGATCTTTTGTACACTTCGGATTTCCCAATAAGGCAATCCATGCAACATTTATGCCAGAGTAGAACTTCATATACAAATGGACGTTTTCTTTATCTGTTCATCTATTTATCTGCTTCTAGATTTAGCTGTTATGAACCGTGCTGCTATAAACACAGGTGTACGGCAGCACTGGGATGCCTTAAAGTCTTTCAGGGAGATACCTGAAGGGAAATAACTGAATAATTTGAATGGGATTCCTAGTTTTAGTCATCGGAGGAATCCCCATACTGATTTCCACAGTGGCTCAACTAGTTTACATGCCCACCCACAATATCGACAGGTCCCACCCACCCACCCACAGACTCACCAGCATTTGTCAATATTTGACTTCGTGATGGTGGCTGTTCTTTATGGTGAAAGATGGAATCTTGGTGTTGCTCTCATTTGTATCTCTCTACCAGCCAGTGGTGGTGAGCGTTTCTTCACGCGTTTATTGGCTATTTGTACTTCTGGGAAGCATCTGATCATTTCACTTATCCTTTTTTTTTAAAGAGACATAGAGAGATTTATTAGATGTAGATCTAGGACACAACGAGGAGCGCACTGTGCATGCTCAGACAATGAGGCATTGCCCATTTTGTAATTGGGGCTTTTATTTGGGGGACTGGATTTTTTTTAGTGTTTTATATGTTTTCTATATCCCTGGAGGAATAGCTGGCCAAAATTTTTTCATTCTGTAGATTGTCTTTTTCACTTTGCTGATTATTCCCTTCACTGTGCCAAAGCCTTTTACTTTGATATTATCTCATTTGTTGATTCTTGGAACTATTTCCTGTGCACCTGGGTTCAAAAAGTCCTTGCCTACAGCTATGACGTCAAGAGTTTTATCTCCCAACACATTAAATGTTTCTTTTTTAACATGTAGTTCTTTGATCCATTTTGGGATTTTTCCAAATGAAAAATCTTTATTGTAAATATTCCCACAGTGACCCATGAGGACGCGCGTGCCTCTGGAGCTGGGCTCCTAGCTACTCAGGTAGCCAAGCAGGAGGAGCGCAAGTGTGAGCCTCACCTGGGCAGCTTAGGGAGACCTGCCTCAAAGTTATTTTTAAAAGGGCCAATAACATAGCTCAGTGTAAATGTCCTGGATTCATTCTCTAGACAGAAAAAAAAACAAAAACAACAACAACAACAAAACCCTAATATACACACTGTGATGGCCCTCATTAAATTTTTAAAACTAGGGCCCAGGGGTATAGCTCAGCAGCACAGTGCCTGCCTGGCAAACACAAGGTCCTGAGTTCAATTCCAGATAAATACTAATACTAATACTAATAGTAATAATAATAATAATAATAACCTTTAACACTATCCTGCTAATTCCTGGTGTGGTGGCCATGCCCATAATCCCAGCAGTTAGGAAGCTGATCCAGGAAGATCACTGAAAGTTTGAAGTCAGCCTGGACTGCACAGTGAGTCCAAGGCCAGCCGGAATTACACAGTAAGATGCTGTCTCAGAAAATCAAAAAAATAAACAAACCAACAAATCAGCACCCAGACAGCAACATTCCCTTCCCCACATCCACAGAGCTGTGGGCTGGCCACCCTTTCAGGCACGGATGTGATTTTTACTCGCTGACTTCTTGGATTGTGTTGGTGAAGGCACATGTACTGTGTTACCTGTTGCAGCCAATCTAGATTGCTAAAGTGCATTCTCTAGCAATTCTTTCAAAGGGGGTGCATGGGAAGCAAATCTTCTGAATTTGTCACTATCAAAAGGTGTCCTTGTTTTTCCTTCAGAAGTTTAGCTGGATACCAGATTTGAGGGTGGAAGCCGCTCATGT